AGACCATCTGAGCAGAATTCCTCTGTGCAGTTCCTTGCACAAACCTCATTTACTTTGTCTTATGCAAGGTGAACTTCAGACACTCAAACGTTGGCCCCACTTACTCATGAGCAGCAAGGAATCTAATTGCCAGGACTCTACATGCTCCTGTGAGATACCTCTGTTCTAGAAGGAAACAACATGTGGACAATGGAGGCTATCCTTGGGATTAAGATAGTAAAATACAAGGATCGCACAGGCAGGTGAACCTGTTCACTACATAAGAATAATCCTAACATAAAGTACTCAATTCACCCACCGTTTTTCCTTTCCTGCTATACCTAGCCAGGCCCCTAATTCAGTGCTAGATAATAAAGTCTGTGTGAGTCACTATCAAGAGCACTCACCATTTCATACGCAGAAAGATGTAGTTAGGAGTGTTAGGTCTGAAATCAGGTAGAAGGTAGGGCAGAGATGGACCTTATATTTATTTAAGTCTACAAGGTGGATCTCTACCCTTCCTTCATCATTACATGTATTATTTGTTTACTGTTCTGTTCTTTATCTGAATCTACCATTCGCTGTTGCTGCCTATAAGCTTCACTTGTAAATCTGAGTGAATACTGCGACCCAAGGGATACATTGGTCAGTCAGAGCATACTTTCATAAACCTTATTTTGCCTTTTTGATTATAAATTTACATCAAATTTATATATTTAAAAGACAAGAAAATGTCTACAGGTAATGATAGGGAGAAAAAGGCACAAGAGCTGATGCAACAAAGTGTTGTCCTACCAGAAAAACCCAAGAGAAATTACTGGTACTCAGAAGGTTTGCTATATCGTGCTCTGAGTTTCTGAGGTGTCTTTTTGTTACCCTTGAAATATACAGGAAATAGGATCTGTAACTGTATCCATTTGAAGTACTATTTATTAAAAACAGATACAGATGTCAAAAGATGGACATATTAATTCAGTGCAAGAACGATTGCTGAATCACCTTGAAGTAAGAGTACAATAAAGTAAAAATTTAGCGCTTGCACTCTTTTGGTTGGAGTTACTTTAGTGAACTAATCAAACAGATGGATAGGAATAAAAACAAGTATATATAATGCAAATATATAAAATGCAATCCACCCTTCCTCTTCCACCAAAAACATCCCGGAACCAAAAGAGATTATTCAGACTATTAGAAACCTTATTCTGAGTTGAAGGCTCTGAAAAGAACTAGTAAATATCCATCATCTTCTATAGAATAACAGCTGCGGGAAACATCTATGCTCTTCAGCTGTCTCCACTCAACCACCTGCAGAGAGGACCTAATGAGTTGCTTGCTAACTTGAAAGGAAACTCAGGAAAGAAATTTAATTCATCTTGAATTACATGCAGCTTTTTAGGGGGTCACTTTAGCTAAAAGTGCCTGAGGTAAGGTAGAAGGAGAATGGCTGAAATCCATCTACACCTGGCCATCCTGTGCTGAAAACAACATGATGACTTTACTGACTTGACTTTGTTTTTACTGATAGGTCTCATGCAACTGGCAGAAACGAATGTCTGAAAAAATATGAGATACTTACCCTCCTTCAAAGATCTTGATCCTGGCAGGCTCCCCTCTTTTGGTTATGGGAGCATCTTCCTCTGATTTTCCTCTTTTATCCTCTTCCTTCTCAGCTCTTGTTACATCTTTTCGACCTTCATTGGAAAGGAGTGAAGGCAAATGAACCTACCTCACCGAAAGAGTAAAAGAATCAGTGATTACACATTTTCAATGGCTCTAGAAAAGTAAAAAACCATTCATACAGCAGGCTCCCACAGAAGGAAACCTACCATACGTGCTGTTGATTACCATGACTAAAAGTTCGGTAATCAGGACTTACATTTTAAACATGGCCTCTGATTCTGGATCTTGCTCCCTGTTTTTTGCCACGCCTTATTTACACTGACCTCTTAAGAGCAGGGGATGTGGTGTAGAAATTTTAAAGTACCATATACATTAAGAGCAATATAAATGTTATAACAATAGTAATTACTCCACATTTAAGAATCATATCTCTCTTATAAGGTGGGCCTGTATGGGGATCCTCATTTAGCAATTGAGAAACTGACGTATAGGAGACTAAATGTTGTGTCTTGGGTCACTCTACGAGTGTGTGGCAGAGCCAAGGCTAGAATGCAGAACACTACATTTATAGCTCATTCTTCTATCTTTACTTACCCCCTCCATGTACTACACAAATTACTGGGAAAGATGCACATGCAAATACATTTGAACTCAATATCTAGTATTTTTCTTCAGAAATCTGCATTTTAGTCATATATACTTTTTTTAGGACCCACTGTTTACTGAGAATTCTTAGGTGACTTCCCTTCCCCAAAACCAATATTAAGCAAAGTCTCAGTACAGACATGTTCACAAACAGGCAAGCAAAAACTATTTGGCTCCCAAATTCTTAGAGCGAAGCTCTTTTCTTTTCACCAACAAGTCTGTGCCCCTTTCGCTAAAAAAAAATGAAAGGCAGACATGTACTGAGATGCTATGCAGCAAGACTTCATAAAGTATGATGTTTATGCCATGCAGCCCTATGTCTGACTGTACAAAGTCAGTTAATCTCATCTAAGAAAAGCAAGACTGCATCTAGGATGAATGCAAGGAAATTAAATGAAATCTTGGTGACTACACAGATAGGATCTCATGACACAACTTTCTTCATATGACGCACACAGTTATGAATGTGAAAAGTTTTGAGTGTGGCTTTATCAAATACATTTATCCTCTGATGCAGCAGTTTGAGAAGGCTTAATTTTGTGTCTACATTATTTAGAAGCTCAAAGGCCATCATCCATGGAAGTTAGTAAGGGGAAAAACTACTTCAGGGAAAATTATTTCTATTAATAGTCCCCTCTCCTATTCCATGGACTTAAAATATGCTCTTAAAGATCCACCCACAAGGTAACCCTGGAAGACCCATCATATCCAACTGTGGTACCTTCACTGCAAAGCTAACAGGATTCATTGCAACTATCCTGAAACTAGTTGTCACTCAAATAGCATTTTTTCTACAGGACACAATAGACTTCCTCAACACAATACAGATCCTTAGTCACTGCCCCCAGAAGGCCATGTTTACAACCATCAATGTCACCAGCTTTTATACTATCATCCCACACTGTGAAGGCACAGCTCTCTACCTGAAATAGCTATAAAAGCATGGATTATACAAATCATCCACTTCATCCTCACCCACAACAACTTCATTTTCAACCACTGACACTTCCTCCAAACCATAGGCACAGCAAGCCATATGCACAAGGACAGCCCTTCCATATGCCAAAATCTTCGTGAGCTTCTTCATGAGTCTCCCCATTTGTAAAGGAGTGAAAAGTACCACAGCCCGTTTTGGCTTCTTTGACTATGGGATGGTGTTCCAAGAAGGATTGCTACGAAGAGATGGGATTCACCTGACAAAGAGAGGGAAAAGTGTCTTTGCAGACAGGCTTGCTAACCTAATGAGGAGGGCTTTAAACTAGGTTTGCCAGGGGATGGAGGCCAAATCCCTGAGGTAAGTATGGAAATGCATGACCCGGAGGAAACACAAGTAAGAGGGGCCAAACAGAGGAGGCTTTCTCATTCTTCCTGAAAAGGTAGGGCAATCAAATGTCTGTACACAGCCTGGGAAACAAGCAGGAAGAACTGGAAGCCCTCTCTCAGTACCAGAACTATGATGTGACTTGAATAACAGAGACTTGGTGGGATAGTTTGCATAACTGGAGCACTGTCATGGATGGGTATAAACTCTCCAAAACATATGGGCAGAGGAGAAGTGGAGGGGGAGTTGTGCTTTCTGCAACAGAGCTGTATGATTGCTCAGAGCTCTAGTATGAAACTGGAGATAGGCCTGTTGAAAGTCTCTGGGTTAGAGTCAGAGGGGAGAGCAACAAGGGTGATGTCATGGTGGGTGTCTGCTATAGACCACCAGGTCAGGAGGATGAGGTAGATGAGGCTAATGGAAGTTTCCCAAATCACAGGTCATGTTTCCCATGGGGGACTTCAGTGACATCTGCTGGGAGGGCAATACAATAGTGCACAGGAAATCCAGGAAAATTTTGGAGTGTGTTGAGGACAACTCCCTCGTGCAATTGTTGGAAAGGCCAACTAGGGGCTATGCTCTTCTTGACCTGCTGCTCACAAACAAGGAAGAATAGGTGAGGACTGCAGTAGTGGATGACAACTTGGGCAATAGTGACCACAAGATAACTGAGTTCATGATCCTGAGGAAAGGAAGGATGGAGAGCAGAAGAGTAAGGACCTTGGACTTCAGAAAAGCAGACTTTGACTTGCTCAGAGAACTGATCAGCAGGATCCCCCCGGGAAGCCAGTCTGATGGGGAAAGGAGTCCAGGAAAACTGACTACATTTTAAAGAAACCTTACTGGGGATACAGGAATGAACGATCCCGATGTGCAGGAAGACTAGCAAGTCTGGCAAAAGACAAGCTTGGCTTAGCAAGGAACTCTTCAGTGACCTAAATTACAAAAAAGGAAGCTTACAAGAAGTGGAAACTTGGACAAACAACTAGGGAGGCGTATCAAAGTCTTTCTTGGGCATACAGGGATGAAGTCAGGAAGGCCAGAGCACAATTGGAGTTGCAGCTAGCAACAGATGTGAAAGGTAACAAGAAGGGTTTGTACTCGTTTGGCAGCAACAAGTGGAAGATAAGGGAAAGTGTGGGTTCCTTACTGAATGAGGAAGGCAACCTAGCAACAGATAATGCAGAAAAGACTGAAGTGCTCAATGCCTTTTTCATCTCAGTCTTCACAGGCAAGGTCAGCTCTTAGACTACTGCACCGGGCAGCGCAGCTTGGGGAGGAGGTGAGCAGTCAACAATGGTCATCTTCTTGGTCACATCTCCAATCCAACCTTTCTATATGGTCTGTTGCCAACATTCTGCACAGGCCACTGCTTTTGGTGTTGCCAGATCTCATGGGGTGTACTGTGGTGCTACAGGGCATCTCAGGATATTATCCATGGTTTGCTTCTCTTGACAGACACAGTGGCTGGTTGCATAGAGGCCCAATGATTTCATTTCAGCAACCAAATTTCAGCACCAACCAAAATTCAACAACCATGTCAACAGTAGTGAAAGAACAGGTTAGGGACTATTTAGAAAAGCTGGATGCATACAAGTCCATAGGGCTGGCCGCGATACACCCAAAGGTGCTGAGGGAGTTGACTGACATGACTGCAGAGCCACTTGCCATCATCTTCAAAAATCCATTGCTACTGGAAGAGGTCTCAAATGATTGGAAAAGGGTAAACATAATACCCATCTTTAAGGAAGAGTAGGAGGATCCAGGGAACTACAGACCAGTCAGCCCAACCTCAATCCCTGGAAATATAATTGAGCAAATCCTCAAAAAATCCATTTCTAAGCACTTAGAGAAGAAGGTGATTAGGAACAGTTAGCATGCCTGACCAAACCGATTGCCTTTTAGGACACGATGACTGGCTCTAGATGAAGAGAGAACAACAGATGTGATATACCTTAATGTAGGAAGGCTTTAGATACAATTTCCCACAACATTCTCACAAGTAAGGTAAGGAAGTATGGTTGGATGAATGGATTGTAAGGTAAACTTAAACCTGGCTGGATCATTGGGCTCAAAGGGTAGTAATTCCCCACTCAGCCAGGGGGACTTGCTGCTAGCTGCCCCACTGGCAGATTGGGGCAGGGGGCTGGGACCTGCCCCTCCCCTCCCCTCCAGCTCTTTCCAGCCCCCTGCCTGCCTTAGAGAGCTGGGGTGGGGAGCTCCCTGCTGCCAGGGCAGGTGGTCATTGTCTCCACCTGGGTTCTGGTGGAAGAGCCAGTCCCAGCAATAGGCAGCTCCTGGGGGCAGGGAGCAATCTCTCAGCCCGGCCCCCCAAGAAACAGCTGTCTTTTGGCCTGGTACTCCCTGCCAGCCCCTGGGCTAGCACTGAGGAGGAGCCTAGAGCTCCCTGTGGCTGCTGCATGGGGAAGGTGCAGGGCCAGTGGGGGTGGAAGCAGGCTGCTGCCAGGAGCAGCAAAATCTACTCCTGCATCCCTGCACATGTAAACGCCTGCCTGGGGTGGGTTTACCGTAGAGTATTTTACACTATTGTAAATCCACCCCACAACATTTGCACATGTATAGACATGTGTTATCTTTACTTGGCAGCCAGTATCAAGTGGAGTGCCCCAGGGGCCAATTCTGGGGCTGGTTTTATTCAATATCTTCATAAACAACCTGGAAGACGGAATGAAGCGCACCCTCAGCAATTCTGCAGATGACACCGAGATGGGGCAAGTAGTAGATATGCTGGAGGGCACAGCTAGGTTTCAGAGAGGCCTAGACAAACTGGAGGACTGGACTCAAAAAAAATCTCATGAAGTTCAATAAAACAAGTGCAAAGTCCTGCACTTAAGATGGAACAATCCCATGCACCAGTACAGGCTGGGGACTGACTGGCTAAGAAAGGGACCTGGGGATTACAGTGGACAAGAAGCTGAATATGAGCCAACAGTGTGCCCTTGTTGTGAAGAAAGCTAACGGCATACTGCATTAGTAGGACCACCCTTGCTAGTCCCATACTCTCAGCTTCTCAGTAGGCTCCTGGACCATTCCCTGGGTCTCTAGGAACTTCTTCCTCCCTTTAGTTCCTCCTCAACCATCCAGATTGGCTTCAGCTGTCCTCTCTGTGGTGGGGCTCCACAGCTGCAGTCCTCCTGCAGAGGTGGTGCTCTCAGCAGGCTCCAGATCTTACTGCCGGGCTTACCAGCTCTAAGCCCAGCCATCCTGAGTTGGGTGACTCCCTCTACCCAGCCTAGCCTCACCTGTGGGCTCCCTGGGTCAGCTGACTCACAAATAGCCCTGGCCCATACCTGCCAGCAGCTTCGCAGGCTGCCTCACCCCTGCCACACTAAGAAGCTTTCTGAGTAGCCAGGAATACACACCACCTTATCTTGACCAGTAACTTGGATAATAAAAGACTAAATTTACAATTTCACTTGCACTAAACACCTCATTAAAATCACTTACATATTTGTCACTAGGTCAATGTATCGCCATTGAAATAATCCTAGTTTATTTGCACCAGTTAACTAAGCTAAACTGTTTTCTAGGTGAATGATGCACTTACACCAGAAATGTAAATTTTACATAAAAATGTAACTTGCAAATGTATCTAAATTGTCATAAACTCCTTAACGTACATCTGGTCTTAGTTTTTAAAGTCTCAGCTAAAAAATTGTGTATCTCTTTGGGGTAAATCATATGTAATGTACTGGTATATATGCTGGTATACCAACTTGCAGGATTAAAACCTAAATAATTCTGTCTAGATTTTAACCTATGACTCCAGGGTTATAAATACATACTGAGGTCATCCTCCTCAATGCAACCTAAAAGCACTACTAGGCATATGTAAATGCTCACATCTCATATCAAACTCAAAAGAAGCGTGGATGCTCTACCTTTTTCAGAACTAAACCCACAATGCATATAGTGCTTTTAACTATTATCCTTTGGGAGTAAAGATGCAATCTAAAATATTAATTAGTATTATTATAATAGACACATAATTCTCTATCTCTTGATTCCCTGAAATACCATCCTTGGGATATCTGCACTGAATAGAAATAAAGACACACTGAAATACTGTATCTCTAATGTGGATTTTAAGGTATATTTATAAGGAGCAGCAGCAGAAATTATGATAAATTCAATACTCAGAGTTCACTTTGTGATTCAGAAATAAAATGAACAATCCAGCAGTATAACTTGCCGTGAAATGAGCATCAAATTGCAAAATCTTTAGAATAGTTCTGTTTGCTAATATACATGATCACAACCTGGATTAAGAGGGATTTGTATGGTTTTGCACCAATAAAAAACAGTAACAAGATCTGCTCTTACACACTTCCCAGCATCAAAACTAGGGGAAAAGCACCGTGAAATAATCCATAGCATCTTCTCTAGAGCTTTGGGCCCATGTGGTAGCTCAAGGACTTTAATGGGGCCCTGCGCAGGTAAAATAGCTGACAACCTTCTGGTATAGTTTCATAAGAAATGAAAATTGCTGTCCTCTTTCCATTAACTCTCCAAACAGTGTAGAGCCACATGTGCAAAGGTTTTAAAGCCTCAAAATGAGCTGGGTGCCTAGTGTAGTGGGATATACAAATGCAGCTGCATCGGGCACATAAATCCCTAGTTGTAGACACTTCTGAAAATCCTAGTACATGTGTTTCTGCAATTTTAGGTGGCTAAATACCTGTATAATCTAGCCTTTAAAGCTATTAAGTGTTCAGATCCCCTTTTGATAAATACAGGATAGGTAGATTATAGTCAGAAAATCATTACCTGAAACATCCCCATTAATTTAGTGGTTTTGTATTAATAATATGCAAAACATAAGGAATTCAATAAGCATTTATCTATAAAAGTGCTATTTCAGAAAGGCAAGTTTATGTGTAATTTTTGTGGCCACGTATTTTATTACATGAGGGTGATCACCAGATTAATAGAAATTAAACTATAGAAAAAAATGCTGTGTCATGCCATAGAGTAGTCTTGCATTCTTTTGTCTTATACTCTGTTTTATGTTTCCACCCAGGCAATCCCAGTAAGAGCAAGTACTCTGCAAAGTGATGCACCTAGCAGTCTTTACTGAACTAAATCCATTACCTTCTAATTCCTCCTCCTCCCACCCTGACCCATACAACTATAATAGGAGAAAAATAAATCGTTTTCTTACCTCAGTCATTTTTGGCTTCCTGGAGCTGGACGGTACGAGCCTGCCTGACTCTGGACGTGGAGCTGTAGCCATGGTGTAGGTTTCTTTGCTCACCTTCTGCTTGGACCTCAGGAGTGAGAGGGCTGCTTTAGTGGATATACCTGGTAGATTGGGATTATACAAGCTAATACACCAGCTGGCATACACTGAGGACCTTCGGTCATCTTGCTGGATATGATTTGGCTTTATGTAGTTTAAATAGCACCAACTGACATTAGTGGTTGTGTGGAGACTGGGGAACTGCAGTACCTTCTTCATGTCTGTACCTTCTTGAGACTTCATTGCACTTTGAGTTGCATCTGATTGAGGCGCAGGACTTGGAGGGTTTGGTGGGAGATGCTCTGCCAGCTCTTTGGAATCCTCCTTCTTTACTGTCTGCAAAGGGGCCTTGCTGCGGAGCTGCTTGCCACCTGGCTGCTTATACTCCTCCAGTGCCTCAAAACTTGAAGCACCTGAATGGGGCAAGGCTGGCTGCAAATTACTTGGGATTTCCTTTGGCTCTGCCTGCTCCAAGGATAAATTAGATGGGGTTTCTACCTCGACTCTGCCTTGGCTCTCTGCCAGAAAGTGAGATGCGTCCTGCTTTTTTCCTTCCTCTATTGTACCTGGTGGTTTCACCACTTCTAGCTTTTCTTCTGCTTCAGACACTTCTTCCTCTTTCACTCTTTTCTGCTGTTGTGTTTCCATTGTAAGCTCCAAGCTACCAGCTGGAGACAACATCCGCTTGCTTCCACTGACTGTTGATGGGCCCCCTTCTAAGCCCAGAACACTTTCTGATGGTGATGTGAGTGGCATATAGCCTTTCCTTTCTGGCAATGGTAATGGCACTCTCAAGTACGGACTCTGGAAGATACTCCTCTGATCCTCTGTGATCATCTGTGCCAAATCAAGACCTATTCCATGCACATCAGCACTGCAGACCAGAGTGCTCTTGGGCTGGCGATCATCAAATTTTGGAAGGACAATAGAAGATGAACTACACTGGGACTGGGTGACGAGGATCTGAGAGAGAGTTGTGTACATTGCGCTCCCATACGATGGCATGTTAGTCTGAATGCGAACAGGGACTACGAGCGATACCATAGGATCGACACGTGTGGGGACCACAAGCTGGGACGTGGAGGCGGACACCGAAGGGCTTGCCGTGCAGGTCAAAGGATGTAATCCAGTGTCAGGGCTGAACTGTGTGCATGGGGAAAGGCTGGAGGTCCCTGCTGGTGGAAATAAACTGGATTTGAGCTGTGGCAAATGGCTGCTGGCTTCCCCTGGCAACTGGAGGGCAAACTGAGACTGGAGAGGCAGAAAGAATGCAGAAGGGATTGGTGAGGAGCCGGGGTAATTCACAGGGAGGAATGAAGGGTGTTGCCTGAATGGCACCTCAGCTGGGTGTGCCATCAATGGAGGGGCAATGTGCAGCTGGCCTGGGTGGAGAAGAGCTTGCTGGAGAGGGAGCGGTGGTGTCTGAAATATAGAGGGAGGAATCTGAGGCATCGTAAATTGAGCAGAGAAGATGTCAGACATGGTTTGAGTGGCAAAGAGTTCTGCAGACTGCGCTGGTTGTGGCAGAATATGCTGGTAGGGGAAGAGAGAGACTGGAGGGGACATGTACTGTTTTTCATGCAGTGCTAGCTGTGGTACTGGATGATGGAGCACCTGCAGAGTTTCAGTGTACGGCTGGCTGTATGCTGGCGGAGGGCTGTCTTTTGGCTGACTCTTATCAGTTGAATAGCCACCGTGTGAGGATGAAGAGGATGAAGATGCAGGTTGATGGGGCAGACTTGTGGCAGGAGATTTACTGGAAGAAGGCAACGGTTCTTCTGTCTCCTGCCGCCCTTTTGGGGCTGGGTCTGGTTCATGCTCTGGATGCCTGGTGAGAGACGCTTGCCTAACCAGAAAACACTTCCTTCTCTCCAGTGGAGTTGAAGAGACTGAAGGACCAGGTGCTGAGGCAGAAGTGGATGACAAGCTCCCATAGTCAAATGATTTACTGCGTGTCTCTGACATCTGTGAAGTGTGGGACACATTAGGGGTCTGCTCGGAAGCAGATCTTCGCATCTCCCTGGAGTGATGATGGTGGGTCGGTACCGTCAACATGTGAGAGCCTATGCCTAGAGGTTTCATATGGGATTCAGAGGACTGGCTGGTCATCTCTGACTTACTGTATTCTTCACGATCAAATGAAATGGAATGGGTGGAGCCATGGGATATACTGCTTTCCTGACTTGGGCTTCTTGTGAGAGATACTGACTCAAAACTGGACTCTCCAGAAGACTGAGCCATTTCTGCCAGCCGAAGCCTTTTCTTTTTTGGTGGAAGTTTCTCTGCAGGAAGCTGGGACAGTGTTTGACTTCTCTGGGGCCACTGAAATTCTTCTGTTTTTTCTACCTCCTTAGGAGGAGGCTCAGGCTCATTTTCTGGTCTATCAGGCTCTTCAGTGACCAGAATTTCAGGGACCTGGATGTTGGGTTGGCGTACCAGCTTTGGCTGCAGGGAATGAGATGGTCGGCTGTGTTGTGCTGCTGACTGAGATGAGTACTGTGACAAAGGCTTTTCTTCTTCTAAGCCACTCAGCTGTTCTACAGAGTCTGACTTCTCAAAGGAACTGGTATGCTGGATGACAGATATTTCTTTTGAGGTTGTTCTTCTCTCTTTGCCTTCTGTACTAGAAGCTGCTTTTGTAGTCCTGGAGTGAAAGCCTGTGCTGACCTCAGAAGGTGGTATGGATTTACCTGGATCTGCTGGTGACTTGATAGATTCACGGGTTAAGTTCAAAGCAACATCAGATGATGCTCGACTTGCAAACTGACTTAATGATCCACTGCTGGAGGAGGGAGTTTCAGAAACCTCAAAAGCTGGGGGGTCCTCATCATCACCAAGACTCTTCTCTTTCCGTCTTTTTCTGAGTGGAGTGAGTTCCAAACTGGTCCCTAGCTTGTAATGCATCATTTGTGGCCAGGAATCAGGATCCACAGCAGTTTTTTCAGTTTCTGAAGAGGTATGAGAGCTAGAAGAACGAGACTTGGAGATCTGAAGTTCTGAACAGTAATATTTTTTATGGGCTTCATAATTATCTCTTTTCTTGTACCGAGCACCACATATATTACATTCATACATGAACCCTTTCACTTTCTGTCCCTTCCTTGACTTTTTGGTAACATCGCTTTCCTTGGATTCCTGTTCCTCAGCAGGTTTAGAAACAGTTTCTTTGCTTATTGAGCTAACTTCCTCTGAACCATATTCCACTCCCAGAGGTAACTCGATAGCCGGCTGTCGTTTTAGCATTCGAGGGTGTGAAGAAAACACTTGACTGCGACTTACGACATCAGGCTCCATGATGTGGTCATCAAATGAGTAACTACCTCTAAAAGTATGAGGGGAGCTTATAGTGCATGCAGCAGAAGGCATTGAGTGGCTTCTTAGAAGAGGCACTGTCTCTGTGGCACTGTGGGATTGCTGAAGTGATAACAATGATTGTTCAGGCTTAATTTTTTCACCATGGGATGCTAATGATTTTGATGCGTCCAACTGGCTACCAGAACCAGGCTTGATATCAAATTGAAATGGTTCTCTATATACACTAGACTTTGGAGATTCAATGCTGCTACGTCTAGATAATGAACTTCTTCTAGGCTTAACACTATCTATTTCACTGGTATCTACAACAGCTTCATTAATTGTGATTAGCTTAGTGATGTGTTCAATAACCTGTGTTCTAGGCACAGACAACGGTACCATGCTAGGTTTATCTTCAGTAGACAGGTGTGGAAACCCCGGGGTCGTAGTTGCAGATAACATTGCAGTCCTTTGCCCAATTCTCCCACATTTCCCGAAAATAATTTCTGCATAAGATTTTGCATTTGTATTTGGTGGGCTGATTTGCTGTTCTGCACTTTCTGATCGTGAGAAGTAGCCTGACTCTGTACTTCCTTTGCTCCCAGGGCTAAGAAAAGCCTGCTCATCTATCACCTTCTTCCTTTCACTTAATCGGAGTGCAAGCTTCTGTTTTATTGTATGTGTGTCTTCAGATTTATGGCTCAAAGCATGGTCTGATGATGGCTCCACAAACTGGGTGCTGTCTTCAAGAGACTGAGACATACTGGAATGGGATAATGAACACCGGTCATGGCTCGAACCCTGACTTCCTGCACTGTACAAACTACTAGATAACAGAGTGTGCTTTTGCCTGGGAGATAGCTCTACTGAATGACCTGACATTGTACCCGTCTCATCTTCTGAATCTGTACTTTCTCCTTCAGTAGGCTCTTCAAATTCCTCCCCACCAATCCTTTCCATTTCCAAGCTGGAAGGATACATCTCTCCTCCCATTCCCGAGGCCAGCCCAGCTTTTATTCTATGAGCATGAGACTTCCTATGTTTATACAAATTACTCTTAGTCTTAAAAGAAAAGCCACATGGAATGCAAGGGTATGGGCGCTCACCCGTGTGTGACCTGATATGTTTCTGGAGCACACTTGGTTTTGCACAAGGTCTGCTGCAGTACTGGCAAATGTATTTGCCTGGCTTCTGAGGTTTCTTTTCCTTCTTGTGCACTTCTTCAGTTTGTTTTAAGGAAACTTGGGGAGGACGAGGAATAAAGACTTTCTGAACGGACGGCATGTCCTCTCCAGGAATGATTGGTGAATGGGAAGGTATGAGCTGACTATGATGAGAATGAAGTCCAGTTGATGAAAAAGAGCTGGAGGGACCAGGTCTTGCTGAATCTACTAGCTGCCATGTGGGCCCTTCAAGGGCATGCTCTGGTTTTCCAGGAGACATAAATGCTGGTGACAGCGGATGCTGCTGAAGCTGTGAAACGTGGGAAGGATGTTCAAAAGAGGAAGGCTTGGGTTGTTTCTGATGTCCAATCTTCTCCTGAGATTCCTCTCTTGGAATCGGCAAAGAACCAGAAAAGTGCTGCTGAGATACAATGTCACAGAGAGGGGGTCCTTGCGAAGAAGCAGAGCTGCCCTGATACGTAGCTGCGGATGTAATACTGGTTTGGAAAACCTCTCCTTTGGTAAGCCTCTTCCTTGGACTTTCTTCCACCTTTTTTGTGCTCTTCTGGCTTTGTTCAGGATCCATGACCTTAAAAAGGGTCTCTGAATGCTATTTTGGGAAGGTTTTGGCAGGCTTCATTTACGAATAATAAAGGTCTCCTCTGTAGATTCCCTGCTTTGCCTGCATTTGCTATAAAACTGGAGCCACCAAGAGATGGTTGTTGATTTAAGATTTTACTAAAGTGTCACTAGTTGCTATTTGATTCAAAAAAAAGTTTCAGGGTCAATAAAGTTCACATTGGTAACACATGACAAACTACTTCAAAGAGAGAAAACTTTCCGAAACTTTTAGTCCAAATATTTTCCTTGTGAACTTGGTTAAGGCTTTAAACCTTGCCATTTTATTTCAGTTGACAGTGGCAAGCCTTCAAAGTCAAGAAGCAACCCACAATGTGTCTCTTGTTTGTTATGCAAACCTTTGAAAACTTGAGACTTTAGTGCTCATCTCATAATCATCTTTTTGCCTTTGCAAGGAAAATAACACTGAATGGTGTGTGTTCTTCTGGTCTTCGTGCTCCTCACTTTTGTGTTCAAAGGCCGCCAAAAAATATATCCCACATTTCTGTAATTACACCAACCAAGAAAAAGACACACACAAAAATTACTGCAGCATTCATATTTAAAATAACTAGATATTCATACTTGTAAAAGATAACAGTATACATTGCACACAAAAGAAAATTCATAGCATTTCACAGTCTAATAAAATATACTGCATCTATCCAAAGAACCTTGCTGGCCATAGTATTTCAACAAATTCTTACCAATTTTTGGACATAATATTTAGTAGTAATCTAAATGTTACTCTTGTGAAAACCGAAAGAGCTGTTCTGTTTTTAATGTACCTATGTCCAGGTCAAGTAACAATAAGTGAAAATGAGGGATACAAATAACTTGAAATCTAATCAGCTTTAAACAAATGGTTTAAAAGTCATTTCAGAACCTACATCTATCTGACCCCAGACCTCTGCCAGGCTTCATGGTGTTACAGTCATTTTCTAATTGGTAATAGAGAAGAAACTGTGAAATTAAGCTATATACAAAGAGCTGCCAAATGCTACAAACAGATTGGCTAAGAAAATCAAGAAAAATATCTTTATTTCTCATCTTTTAATAAGACGCAGCAATTGTAGGTGTCCCTTGTAATGCCAGCAACTAAAAAAAAGGCATATATGATGTTTTTTACTAAGTGGCTCAGGCTCTTTTAATTCCTTGAAATCATTTTCCTGAGGAATAACAAGGAAGGGTCATTCCCCATATTTCCCATAGGAGATGCTCAAACTGGCATTCAGTGCCATACAGTGTAAATTCCAGACTGATGGACCGGCCGATATGAACATCTCATTGTAGACTGTGATCACATTGCTTAGCTTCTTACCCTTGAAAACTTAACTCTAGCAGACCATAATCTCATATACATTAACGTAACTTATCTACATACAATGTTTTGAGAACTGTGGGCATATGAATGTGTAAACTAGTAGGGACACCTCACTTTAAGGTTCTTCATCATTCTTCTTGGCAACTACACCCTATCAGTGCAATCCTTTTTACAGTCCTGGACATTTCCCAGTCTCTCTGTTCTTTCAGTAAGTACCATAATTCACAATGACTTATATCCAAGTTTATAATAAAGTAATAGAAAGACTTGTCTAAAAGTTCCATCTTTCTCCAGAAGAAGTGAATACCTGTACATGTCAGGATAGGACAGAACTTTGCTCACTGAGTTTTCAGTAGGTCACAGGATACTAAGGACAAATTCAGCTGTTTTGGAGCATGCCTCCGAGAACCTTTCCCATCACTAGGGGCAAGGGCACTGATGCTATTCCAGAACCTCCTCCCCCCCGCCACAAAAAACACCCAACATTATGAATGGAAGATAAATCTCTCTCCCAATTTCAATATCTCTGTGTGGTTCATAGTCTGAATCTGTGGGCTGCAATTTTTTAACCTGAGTGTTTAAATTAGTTACCTAGGTAAGAAGGCTGATCGTATACAAAAAGGAAACTTTTTAATATTATACCTGCACATGAAACTCCATTAACCTACTGAACTTGTTGACAGTTGAAAGTTAGCACTGAGGACATCTGAAGGCTGCTTTGAAATAGCAGAGTTTCTCAGAGAGATAGGAGAGAAAATACCCATGAAATATCCATGAAAAGCAGGGGCTGTCTGTCTTAGGACTTAGTTACACATTAATTTTAGGTGGCTCGGGGAGCTCTTAACCCCTGGAGTTGGGCTGGACATCTATTACGATGTGTAAAGGATGGACATTGATTACAATGCGTAAACTAGATTAAAGTACACTTTAGGCATCTTAAAGTTATGCCACTGCAAGGCAGGTTTATCTCTGATCCGTGTTACCCAGCTCATGTTCCATGAATGGGTAGGCACTCTCCAGAGATAAGCCACCCAAGTTTTAGTCCTCCAACGTCCCAGGATTCAGTGTTTCTTTCCCTCACCCTCCCATTCTGTGTGGACAATTCACAGGTGTAGCTTCTAGTCAGGCCCCTGCTCACCAGCCCTCCAGTGGCAAGTCACAGCTGTACAGGTCAGAGACAGTCAAAGGTTTTTAGCCTGAACGTGCAACTACTCTAAGCTCCAACCAGCAGTAACACTGATCAACACTTGAGAAGGTTAAAGTGTAATTTGTAACAAGGCCCTTAAGTAAACGCAATTAGCACATATAATTTACAGTGAGGTAGAATGGAAACCCCTTTTCATTTCCATGTATTGCAGTACAAATCTTTCATCCTAAAGTAAACCTAAAATAATGTTTCATCACAAGGAGCTTCCATTTATTTTAATATGACATCTTAATCCAAATGCTGCTAAGTAAGAGTGATTCAGCCCGGGGCACATGGAACATGTTTGCATGCAAGTACAACATAAACAGTACTGAGCTAGATGGGGCTTTCCATCTGCATTCCTGAGAATACGGCCCACACCGGTCCTAAACTGACTGCTGAAAATGAGGCAACAAAAGTTTGCTTAGCAGAAGATTGTGTATTAACTGAAGAGTGTATTAGTTAACATTAAAGGAAACACTTTTCACCTAGCCAGTACCTATGTGAAATGGCAACCAATGATTTCTAGCTTTTTACTGCTGTGCACACAGGATTACACTAACCATTTCTACCTCATTTGCTGCCCATGCATTCTGTTCATATCTGAGCTAGAGTTTCACAAGCTTCCAGTGCATGTTCAGCACTGAGATTGAGAAAATAATCTCAAACTAATGAGGGTACTTAGATTTATTTAAAGGTTTGTTCTTCACATCTAAGTGAAACTGGCCACATATACAGAAGATGCTGACTATGCAGTCATTGCTGCCAAGTCATCAAGTACTTGTATAAACATACTAAATGACTGCGCAATAACCCAAGTTACTATGCAGTAGCACCAATGAACAGCTTTTTTGTGACACTGATGGCTCAGTAGACTAAGACTACTGCACAGTAACATCACATGACGGTTTCTGCCACATGATGCTACTTGCACAGTCAGCATCTTGTGTAAACATGGCCACTTACAAGTAGATGCAAGACTAAGACTGTCTATGACCAGACCTTCCCATTAGGCAGCTCAGTCAGAAATCACACAATTCTTAGTAGATTTGAAGATTAACAATGGGATCTTTTCACATGTATCACCATTATCTGGAGTAATTTCTAACTTACACAAGTGTGTTTCAGTTTTGTCACAGCTGCCGCTCTGTGATGCCGTCATGCCAACAAATTCTGGGGGAACAGAACATTATTTTAGTCACTGACCTGTCAACAGGTTCACATTTGCAGTGCAAAGATGCATCGTAAGTGTGTGAACAGAAAATGCTGAAAGTGAAAGTAACAGATGCAGGTCTCAGGATTCCAAAAATCAGAATCAATTCCAAGGTGATTTTTATGCTTTAGTTAATACCCTGCATGCATTTCCAACACCAGTTGATGTAATTCTTCAAAATTAAAGAAAGTTCAGTAGCAGAACCTAAAGCATGACCTTTTGTTTAAAATCAGTGCTCGATGCCCAAAATATCAGTACAGTTCAGTTTACTAAAAGAAAGTGATGCGTAAATTATCTCTTCCACTTGCTCAGACACATGCATTTAAAACTTCCCACCACAACATTTTGCAATAGGCCTGAAAAGCAAGTTAGAATGTTGTTTCTTTCTATGTCTTCTGTGATCCACCTCTGTGCATAATGCCTTCCTTAGTAAGATTTAGAGATGATATAGTGTGTCATTCCAAATATTTGGACTACCACCTATTTCCCATGATGAAAAAGGGTACACCAGTGGCTTAACCTTATTTAATCTGAAAGCACCTAAGTGATACCTAATGGCATAAGAGCAGTTTTTGACACTTACACAGAGTTTGGATTCGATTTGCACTTGTGTTGCTGCACTTGCCCTATGCTTTCCTTCTAAGTATGCTCAGAAGCCTCCACTCTGGCTGCACAGATTCCAAAGCAGAATAAAGTCAGCCTGGGATGCTCATAATTCTGCGCAAATCCCTGAAACATTAATTTTAGAAAAAATCATGGCTAGAAGGCACTTAGCATTAGAAAGAGCAGAGGGAATTTCCAACTTCACAGCTCAATATATAGGCCTTAGAGTGATGTAGCCATGATAGTCCAGGAATTATGTGAGAAGTAAGGATTTCTTAGGGCGATATCTTTTACTGGACCAACTGCATAGTTTGTATAGAATTAGACAGGCTCTTGATTGCAAAACATTCTTCATCTTGCATTCAAAAGCCTGTCTAACTCCATCCCAACTATGCAGTTAGTCCAGTAAGAGCTATAACCTTAAGAAACCCTTGCCTTTCAATATGGGCATATTCCCAAGGAGTGGAAGATCTATACTCTAGCCCCCACTTGCCTAAAGAGAGTTTGTAACTGTAACTTTCTAGCAAGGTTCTTGAAACAGGAGGCCATAGTGTTAGTATACCCTCTTGCCCTCCTCTTGAAGCTGGCCCGCTGTGCAGCCTGACATCACATATATTCCTCTTCTTGGAAGAGGGGAAGCCAGAGTGCGTGGTTCAGTGAGGCAGACACTGCCATGGAAGCGGAGAGACCTTAAGTTCGGGTCCTGTCCCTTATCTTCCATGTTCTGGGAATTACCCTACTGCTATTTATCCACTCAAGCCAATCCTATTAAGTGCACGTTGCAGAAAAGCTACTGGGGGCAGGGGCCCAAACCCTCACTTTTTCAGGACAGTATTCACCTCACTTCTCTCAACCTTGCTCCTTTCCTCCTGGCTCCACAACTCTTGCCTTTTGGCTTCCTAACGGGTGAGCTTCAAGAGAGTAGAGAGAAGAAGGGGAGGCATGGGCTTCCTAGGTGGGAGATTCTCAATCTTTTTTTACATGCGAGACCCCATCTCTTTTGCAAATTGAGAGGCATCCCATTAAAAAAAATAATTTATTATGGGGCTTACCTACTAGAAGATGGATCGGGAAAGGAGGAGGAACAGCCAACAGAGAAGAGCCTTCACTGCAGTGACTGGGGGCAGGAAGAGTGGCTGAGAGGGAAGAGCCTGTGCTTAATTTATCTCCTCCCTGCCAGCAGCACCCTTCAAAGGCTGTCACAGCACCTCAGGGCTCCAGGGCACCTGGTCGAGAATCACTACCCATGGCTGGGTGATTCAAGCACTTTTCTGGGTGGTAGGAGATACAGGTTCAAACCCCTTGTATGAGAGGGTGTGCTGATACCTGATACTAGGCAAGTATTGGGCTAAAAGGGGATTATTAAGAAGAGAATTGGAAACAAAACAGAAAGTATCATTATGCATCCACACCTTGAATACTGTGCCCAATTCTGGTCCCAGTACTTCTCAAAAAGGATATAGAAGAACTAGAAAAGCTCCAGAGAAGAGCAACAAGGGTGATTATCAGTATAGAGGGGCTTCCATATGGGGAGAGATTGAAGAAACTAGGTCCATTTAGTTTAGAAAAGAGACACTTGAAGGGGGACATAATACAGGTTTACAAAATACTAAATGGTGAATAGAAAGTAAATGGGGATTTATTATTTACTCTCTCTCACACAATACAAGAACAATGAAAAAAGGAACAAGAATATGTTAGATGAAATTTTCTAACATACAGCAGCATCAGAGGCTTTCCCTCAACCTGAATTCCTTTTTTGCTTTAGGAAAGGGTGAAACAGAGGGGACGTAACGTCAACATTACTTTATATCAGTGGAGGACAGATGTAACAAGTCCTTGGTTTCTTTCTCTTTCCATCTTCAGCTAACAAGTGCTTTGTGCTAAAGGTGAAAATGATAGATCTGGTTCAGGAGGTGATGATGCTGCCTCTGCCAAGTTAACAGCAGTAGAGGATTCTCCTACACAGCAACCATTCTCCACTGGCTGCTTCTAACCAGAAAATTTTTATCACTCAAGTGATGCAAAGGAGCCAAAGTGGAAGGATCTGATTTATTGTCTTCTGCCATATTTTCTTCCAGTGTCTATTCCATTTTCTGACACATTCTTTCTCCCTCTATGCTATTATGCCATTTTCTCCCTTTTGCATTAACTCCCTCTCTCTCTTTTCTCTGAAAAGTAATACCTTTTATCTTTGTATTCTTTTATGTTTACCTTCTGCCTTCAGTCCTACTCTCTCACAAGCTCCCTTTGTGCCCGTTCACTCCCCTTACCAATTTCTTCTGTCTGCCACCATTGCAATGTCTATGTTCCATTTCTTCTTCCTTGTCCTCCCTGACATAGCATTTATTCTGTACCGCTTTCTGGAATAATTAACAATCATTACATCACTGTGGATGCATCTACATGAGACACTGACTGCACAGAAGCCAAAATATAGTGTGCAGTAGCACGTCACAGGATAGACAGTGCTAATACACTACTGCACAGTATTATTAGGCTACCGCACAGTAGCATCACCTAAAAGATATTCGCCAGTGCTAGTGCAGAGTATCTCCAGTTACTGCACATTTATTTAGTACTTGCAAATACACCAGCACTAAATAAGTGCGCAGTAATGTCTCATGTAGATGCATCCTGATAAGCAGAACACTAGCAATACCGCTTCAGCAGACCTTTAAGAAACCTTGATGGTTTTAAGACACCTGTGTCCCAGCAGCAACATAGCTAACGTTGCATTTTTGTGGGCAAATCTGAAATACAGCCATATTGTTTTATTTAGTTTCAGAGCCTTATTGGCTATATGGGTGTTTTGTAACTTCCTCAAAAAGCAACTTCTGGGAAGTTAATTTGAAGAAGGATAGAACAGAAACAGACTTCTCCATTAACCATCACAAATACAAAGGATGACTTTCTGGTCCCAGTGAAATCCCCGTTGATTGCAACAGGATCAGATATGCTTGCTTAAAAGTTTACAAAAATATTTTGAAATGATCTTCTCAATAGCTTTGTGTGCCGTTTGTATTCAAAACTCCCTCACAATGACTCAGATTCATCCCTATGTTGGGGATATGAGTCTTTAGCTGTCTTCAAACTTGCCTAGGCCCTGAAAAACAGGGTCTAGGAAGGATTCAGACAATGCTATGCCTCATGCTTACTCCTCCAGAGGGAAGAACATTACTGTAACCACACATGCAAACAAGCTGCTGGCCACATTGCTTTGGGGCTGAAACCCATGGTGAGCATGACGAGAAGTGCTAGAGGCTGCAAGTCCCAGCTGTCAGCTTGATCATCAGGATGGGAATTCCATTGAAAATACACTTAAAGGGACCAGGGCTGTTCCTGTTTCCTTTTTTGCCTCCAGAATTTATTTCTTAAAAGGAGTTCCTGAAAAACTGTGACCGCTGACATTTTGTCAGTTGTTTTCAGTTCAGATTGAAAACACAGATGCCTAATTGAACTCTTTCTTCAAAACACCGGAGGTGGCAAAACTCTGGTGTCAGTAATGCACAGAGGGGAGGAATTATTTTTTCATATATTAGGTCCTGTTTCAATTACACCAAGATCCATCCTGATTAGTAGGCAGTTCTCCCAGTGGAAACAGGGCCTCTGTTATATGTTTTCCAATGGAGCAATCATAATAAACAAGCACTGCTTCTGAATAAAGTTCACAGGTCAAGGAGAGAATTTTATTCTCCCCTCCCAATATAATAAAGTATATTGAAAGCACACACTTTCTCATTTTTATGATACCTTATAAGATATTTTCATACAAACATGATATAGAAATGCAATTGCAGGATCTGTCATTAGTTTCATTGTATATTCTTTGTAACTGTTGCCTGCTTGTACTTTGGCTGATGGGACATGTGCTACCTTAGACTTTCAAAATAAAGTATGTGTGACAGAGAGAGATTTAAAATGTACACAGTGATCAGTGTGTGTCATAGTGCAACTCCTGTCTTAACTTTCTGTACCAGGACTCAATAATTTGAGTTAAACAAACCTGCATAGTATTAAATTGGTTACAACATTGGTAGTACTTATCAGGTAAATGTTTCCCAAATATAGGTTTGAAATCTCGGACAAAACAAAAGCTCCCCACCAAAGAGAAGTCCTATTGTCAGCTCATGGTATCTTGTGCAGGCTGGAAAATACATCCAATATAAATCATGAAGGGAAAACAAGGATTACTTACAGTGGGTTTAATCTTCTGTAATGTTGACGGTATGTCTCCTTTATTTGTCCAGGATTTAATTCAGTCTGTAAAAAGAACACCACACTGTAACCTTTAAACAAATATATTAAAATGCCATCTCAGCAGTGTTAGCATAGGACTTACATCAGGTGTCCTGATGCAACGGATTGCCTGGTAACAGAAACAGTACACAAACTCAGTCCCAACAGCTGGAGAAGTCCTTAGTGACTTGGTTAACCTTACTCAGCAAGTTCATTATGATGGTGATGGGCATGTTCATTGTAAAGTACATCACTATGGATTATTTCTTCTGCCCGTGTGGGGGGAAGCAGTATAGTTGACATCAGCCATAGGCATGAAGCAGATCACAGCTCCAGGCAGATGCAGCAGAGATGAGCTGGAAGCTTGCGACATTCCAAAGTGGATTTTCATTCTGTTCGGATCACGGTTATTCAGCTCCTGGATTCAGGTTCCACAGCTATCCCCCAAGGCTAAGGATGTCTAGATCTGGGGTTTTGTTTTGAGACCGCTTCTAACTCTGAGTAAACTGAGGCAATCTCCATCTGATTCATTCCTGAGTACTCATATTACTCCCAGAATGAATGTACTGGTTTATACCACTTATTTTCAAGGATCATACTTAGACAAAGAAAATAAAGGCTTAAAATGCACTCCCCTTCAGAAACCTGGCTGCAAAAATGGCATGATGAGGCTCTACATATGTTCTGCATGTTGATAAAAAAAAAAAATCTTTCAAAAACTAGCACTGCAACTTCCCCCTGGGGTTGAGGTTCTTAGTCCATACATCACTACCGAGATCACATGCCAACTTCTCCCTCAGTGACTTCTAAATATCCCCATCACCCTCAAATTCTTGCCTCAGCTTTACCTGTGCAAGACGATGGAAATTTTGGAGCTGAATTTGCAGAATTATAAACTACATGCAAGTCAAAATGAAATATAGATCCCTCTCCCATAAGTTCTGCATAACTAAAAGAAGAAGATAATAATGCTTTTGTTTAGTAAGCCAATGTACCATATATAACTAATTACATGTAGATGGCGGCCATATCTACATAAGACACTGACTGCACAGTAGCCTGAGACTACTGAACACAAAAGTGTCACGTGGCAGCAACCATGATCCAATGCTACCGTGCAGCATCTCAGGCTACTGCGCAGTCAGTGTCACAAAAAAGCTGTTCATTGATGCTACTGTGCAGTAACTCAGGTTACTGCACAATCATTTAATATTTGTTTATACAACTACTAAATGACCATGCACTAATGACTATGCAATCAGCATCTCACGTAGACACGACCTCTGACCAAGATTTTGGTCCCCCTAATTTTCATGCATCCAACTTAAGAAATTGCAAAAGCTTAGCAGTTGAATAGCTTATCTCAAGTTTAGCACTCAAATGTTGAAGCCAACACTTGAAAATCTTGGCTGGAGAGAATAATCCTGCATACAGGTATACAAGTGATACAATCACTAAAGGCAAAGGGTAGCTGGGGGAGGCAGCAGAATAGAGCCCAACAAGCAAGTTTACCAAATAAGGACTTATTTGGATAAGGCGGGTTGTTTTTTTCATAGTCACTTTTCAAAGAACCATAGATTAAAGATAAAGATTTTCCCTTAACTTCCTTGGCTATTCCTACAATAAGTTATCCCATTTCCCACTATCATCCCACTCAGAAATCCCAAATGACATAAGAGGAAATTAAACAGAACAACCTCAAAAGTCACTATAAATAAAAAATAAAGCAGTTGTCTGACATGTGTTTCCATCTGACAACTCAGAACCATGCCCCAGAGACTTTTACTAAGCCATCTTCTTGTATTTACACTTCTCAGCCAGTTAGCAAAAGGAACTATCAGTATGTTGCCAGTAAAGTACTTGTCATTCTTTCATTATTGGAAATAACCAAAACTGAGACTAGGCAATAAACTACACTCAGCACTCAAGAAATCACTCAGCACTCAAGAAATAAAAGTTACCTTGAATATTCAATTAATTTGCTAATTAAAATTACAGATATTTTCTTGAACTGTTATTCATGCCGGTTAAAAGCTTTTAAACGGTTATTTCCTTTCTTAAAGTCAAACTGCAGACATTATTGTTTGCCACAAGCATAGCTTCAAGGAATTCCCACGTCTCTATAACAAGAAAATAATAGACTGCTATATCACATTTTACTTCTTAAAAACTGGACAATAAATAATGGTATGGATAATATGACCTGCATTTGTGTACCATATATTGGCAGATCAAAGATATAAAAATCCTTGATACAATGTAATCACATACCGCACCTTGGGCATATCTACATGTGGTTACTGTACGTTTATTTAGTACTTGTATAATCAAGTACTAAATAAATGTGCAGTAACTGGAGTTGCTGTGCAATAGCACTGGCAAACGCCTTTAGGCTACTCTGTAGTAGCCTAATAATATTACACAGTAGCGTATTAGTACTGTTGGAGCTGTGACGCACTACTGTTCAGTCAGCATCTCATATAGATGCGCCCCCTGAGGACCAAACACTGCTTTCTAACTTATGTAGTGGCTTTGACTTAAGATCTCAAAGTATCTGATACATAGCAATAAAACTTCAAAGCAACTTTCCATATCTAGCTAACCCTTACTGCCTCTGTCTCTGCTTGACAGAACTGAGGAACTGAGGCATGGAAGTACCAGATGATCTGGCTCAGTGTTGCACAGTGAGTTAACAGGAGAATCAAGAGCAGAGCTTAAAACTCATGACTCCTCGTGCTGTGCTTCAACCTGAGACTCTGCTGCCTCCATGCTTGCCTGCTGAAAGACTGCATCTAGCACAAATCGCTGTCTTCCTCTGGGCTACAAAAATCCTAAGGCACTTAATACCTCGCATCCCTAAACGGACAGTACATATTTATACACAAGCAGCAATACCCACATTGTTGGCCTTCACTTAATGATCCACAAATGACTTCTTTTTTAAATGAACAGCAAAATCAATATTGGCCTACTAAGGAGTATTTATGTGGTGCAGGGAAGTGCCATGGTGATACCCTGTGCTTTCACGGTACTACATGTGAACCAATAGGATCTCCTCCTCTGTCCAGATGCAAACCACACCTTCTGGTTGAGTGTCCCAGCTCAGTACTGCCTTATGCCACATAAACTGACCCTTCGATACCTCTAATTCAGGTTTTGGTGAGTCTAACAATTAAGCCCCAGACCTCAGGAAGGTGATTCAAAGAAACAGAGTTAGGCTCCCCGGCTGCCTATACAGTCAGGTAATTGCCTCCAAAATGTGATTCAGAGAGCTCACACAATAAGCAGGGAGTCATCAAGGGCTAGACAGCAGGGTACACTGAATGCAAGAGTGTGCCTGAATTCTTGCTCCTCTCTGGATACGAGATGCCAGATCATATTGTTTCCAAGCTTATTTGTACACAGCACATTGATCCTGGGCAGCACAGCCCCAGCTGGCAGCATACTGAGCTTCAACTGGGCTCAATGCGCTGCAGAGGGGCTGGCTGGAGCTTCAGCGCAGGGCTAGCCAGCAGGCAGCCTCTGCACTGAAGCACCCTTATGCCCAGCCAGCTGGGCAGCATCTACATGTGTGCTACCATGAGTGACTGGTGCCTCCTGAATCTGGGGGAGGCATCCGCAGAAGCTGCTGACCCTATTAGGGCAGGCACCAGCCCTATTGACAGCATCAGTGTTGGCCATCGGGGGGGCACATGCACCCCCTATCAGTCGCCTACGTGTGCTACTGTGCACGAAAAAACTCTGGATCAACCTAGTACTTGTATTACTGTAGGCCTGTGCGAATAGGGAAGTATTCAATTTGGATTTGAATTCGGCCAATTCAAAGGACAATGATTCGATCTGCAGATTCAGATTGCTGTCCTGAATTGATTCTGCTGAATCAGCTTTGGAAGATTCGGCACTCATTTGGAGAGATTCAATGATTCAGATCAGCTGGGGAGAGTCAGGCACAGCTGGGAGGCTGCAGGTTCTCTCGCAGCTCCACCAGCTGTGCCTGATCTCCCCAGGCCAGGGGCGCCATAGGAGAAGCCCCTGTGGATGCCCTGCCCAGCCTCATCCCCTACTCGGCCCCAGCCTAGTACCAGCACTTTTAAAAAAAGAAAATGCCCTGCACTCAGCAGCAGTAGCAGTGGCTGTGGGGGCTCTGGGGCCACGTGGCACAGCCCCCACTCCCTGCTCCCCCCTCCAC